TAAAGAGATCGGCAATGAACCATGCCCTCCAGCTGTTGTCGAAATGATTGATCAAGATACCATTTGTATCAATGGTGAAACTTTACGAAAACCTTTTGTCGAAAAACCAATCAGTGGTGAAGATCATAATATTCATATATATTATTCATCTGAAACGGGAGGTGGAGGTCGCCACTTATTTCGTAAGGTTGCCAACAAATCAAGCGAATTTGATCCAGGCTTGTCATTGCCACGAACTGAAGGTTCATATATTTATGAGCAATTTATGGACGTTGATAATGCCGAGGATGTTAAAGTTTATACCATTGGGGCTACTTATGCTCATGCAGAAACGCGTAAATCACCGGTTGTAGATGGACTTGTAAAAAGGAATAATGACGGTAAAGAAGTTCGCTATGTTACAACCCTTACACCAAAAGAAAAGAGGATGGCGAGTGATATTTGCACGGCCTTTGGACAAACAGTTTGTGGATTTGATTTACTTCGAGTTCATGGGCAATCATATGTCATCGATGTTAATGGTTGGTCATTTGTAAAGGGTAATGACGACTATTATAGCAATTGCGTGCGTATTTTGAGAGCAATCTTTTTGAACGCTATTCGAAAGCGCAAAGTTAGCATTGATTCCATACCAAATGAGCTCAGATTTGAGAATTCGTGGCGACTTAAATCATTTATATCAGTTTTTCGCCATGCTGATCGTACTCCGAAGCAAAAGATGAAATTCTCTTTTCGTAGCCAGCCATTTATAAAATTGTTAGGTGGAGCAACCGAAGAAGTAATCTTGCGTAAATCACATGAACTAAAACAAGTTATCGAATCCACAATTGAAGCTATCCAATTGCAAAGTGAAGATATAACAAAATTGGAACAGCTCAAATTAATTTTAAAGATGAAGAGTGATTTGCCTGGAACTAAAGTTCAAATCAAGCCATCTTACAGTAAAGAGGATGGATCCTTTGTCAAACTTCAACTCATTGTCAAGTGGGGTGGTGAGGTTAGTGGATAATTACAATTAATGCAAGAGAACCATTTGAATCCTAATGATTGATTTACTTTTTTAAGTTCACGCATTCAGCTCGTTATCAATCACGAGACCTTGGGGAAAATTTACGAAAAGATCTTTTAATTATGAACAGGAATGTGTTTGATGATGTCAAAATGTATACTAGTTCTGAAAGACGGGTCAGTGCTACTGGTATGTCCGAAATTTATTAAAATTCATTTACTCTTTCTCTCAAAATTATTTGTTATATTGGTCAACATTTTCATAGCAATGCAAGGTAGTATATAATATGGACATCGTTGGTTAAAGATGAAAATTTTGGGGGAAAGCTTAAAAAGCTACAATATTATTTGTTAGAAAGGTTTTAATTCGTTTCCTTTCTTTTTATTTGATAAAAATTTGTTAGAAGTAATCTAATGAATCTTTATCAGTTATAAAATTTATGTTCGATAATAGGTTAAAAAAAATTCAAGAATCCATCCAATCTTTTTTGGTAAAATGTAACCCCTTACATATATTTGTATATAATAATAATATATAATTTACATATTTTAAATATGTATATACAGTATACCACTTTTCTGATTATTTAAATTTAAGAAGTAATTCATTTCCTTTTCCTTTTTTTTTTTAAAAAAAAAAAAACTTTATTATAAAAAGATATTTTTTAAAAAGATTAATTAAGAAAATTTAACGAAATATTTATTAAAAAGTGCATTTATTTACCATAAAAAGAAATTTCCGTTAAAATCGAAGATTAAAAATTTTTCCCTAATTATTTTTGTAGCTGATATATTCTCTAGAACATTTTTAGACATCAGCGATATTCCAGAAGAGATTATTGAAACTCGCAAAGAAATGTTGGATGATAGTAATGCAGCGAAAGAACAAATGGATGAAGTGAAGAGCCAATTATGTAATCTCTTAAAGCCTGGTATGACTGCAAAAAATGATGCAGTATGGCCCAATGATGTCCCAGAACCAAGCATAGTAGTTCAAGAGGTAATAGATCTGATGAAGGAACTACGACAGATTATGAGGGAGAAATTCATTACAATGGAAGTTGAAACGATACAATCTCGATGGTGCTGTTCAGAAAATCCAACATTATTTAGAGAAAGATGGGAAAAGTTATTTAATGATTTTTGTGATGTAGAACGACAACAATTCGATCCTAGCAAAGTTTCAGAATTATATGATAGCATCAAATATGATGCTTTGCATAATCGACAATTCTTGGAAACCATTTTTTCGGATGAGGGTACCTCCAAGGTTAAAGAGTTATATCAAAGAGCCAAAATGTTATTTGATTTTGTAGCACCACAAGAGTATGGTATAGAGAAAAAGGATAAACTCCAAATTGGACTTTTGACTTCTTGTTCCTTGTTACAAGATATTATTAAAAATTTGGAGGTAAGAGTGAATCTAAGTTAAGAATTAAATTTTTAATCATTAAACGAAATTAATAAAAATTCATAAAGGAATCCAAATCAAGTCCAACTCCATGTACAAGATTATATTTTACTAAAGGTAAATAGCCGATATAATTCGATATTTGTGGATGGAAATTTTAAGAAAAGTCTTTTTTTTTTTTTTTTTTTTTTCAGAATCCCATGTGCATACGCTATTAAATATTGTATTCTTATCTGGTCTGCCTACACGAATTTCCAAGAATGATTTGGCAGAACTTGATTGTAAATATAAGTCAGGACATCATATATTTGTAATGTTATATATTTTATCTTGAGATTAACAATAATGTTTGTGTATTAAATTATTAAGATCTCACTCAAATAACGTTTGAACTTTATGAACGTCATCGCGGTTTATCAGGTGATAAGGAATATTCCTTACGTGTAGCATTCAGTCCTGGCGCGCATGATCCAAACATTTTGGATTTACGATTAGATGCTCGCCATTGTTTAAATGTAGCTCCAAGAAAGTGAGTTTTTCCCATTGATCAAGTATAATATTAACTTTATTTGAAATCAGATAATGAAAACAAATTCTTTCAAAAATTTAAGGAATCTTACGGATCATTTGCCTCTTGATCAAGCGCTTTTATATTATAAGAATAAAGTATATAATCCCGCATCAGAAGTAGAGGAAAATAGTCCAACCAATAATGTCATACCGGATTCTCACTCATCAATGTTTGATGTATTTCAGTTAAGTAAATCATTTTGAGTCATGAACATATGAACTAGACTATACTTAATTTATTTAAAGACAATACATTAGAAAGTTCTCTTTTTTTTTTTTTTTTTTTTTTTTGATATATGTATAAATTATTTATAATAAAAAAAATAATGAAATAAATGTTACTTTGGTGATCACATGATCAATTTTCGGATTATCGGGAATGATCAAACTGAATTGGGTATGGGAAAAAAAAAAAAGAAAATTTATAATTTCGACATGTCCTCTTTTAGGGAAGAAGAACTTAAAAAGAGAAAAACATATCTTCAAATAGCAGGCACTGCCTGTTCGAATTGTCGTAAAACTTGCAATGAAGCAAATGTAACTTCTCTTTTACGTTGTGCGCGTTGTCGAATGTCACATTATTGTTCTAAAGAATGTCAAAAGGCCGATTTCCAATTTCACAAGGTTTTCTGTCTTGCTATCGAAGAATTGAGCAACAATGAACAAGCTTGGTATTCGTGTAATGGTTTGGAATTAGAATGGAATAAGCGCAAGATTTATCAAATGCAACTACTAGGCTTTATACTTGATAGGGATTTAAATAATTACGAGAGACTTGCGTGGTTGAATCAACCAAAATGTCAAATATGTTTCAAATGTCCAAAAGACTTGAAAACGTCACAAGCATTAATTCCATGTTCAAATTGTCAGGTGGTCTTTTGTTGTTGCCCTGAGCATTGGAAAAAACATCGGTCAAAACACGACGACCTGTGTGAAACATATCAAATCATGACCGATTGTGAAAGGATCCGATATTTACCCGATCAATCTTTATGGGCACCAGAAGATTATGATGAAAATAAATTATATCCACCGTTACCAAAAGATTGGAATGGATATTTCAAGTGGAGAAAGGCTTCAATTATACCTCAACGTAATGATTCTTTCTGTCGAGTTATCACAAATACTCTTTCGTTACCTCTCACGATCCTTTCAGCTCTTTCAAGATTTTACACGCATGATCAATTACATTCCATCAACGATTTGGTAATCCATATTGTTGGTGCAAATCAATATGAACTTTCGGCGCTTATGACTTTCGAAGAGATAATGCACGTGTTACCTGATTTAAAAGTTCTTCACCTCGTAATGATTGGACCGGAAATGACTCCAAAACATCATGGATTTCCGTTGCGATGTTGCCCTCGGTGCACTACGGAAAATAGGATGCGCGTTATTTCAATGTATCCAATGATTTATCATGAGTTCGCTAATTCTTCCGATTATAGTCAACCTCACTTGGCTATTGGATTTAACAAAGATTTAGGTGAAGATGATTTTGAACTTTGGAAACCAACGATCGAATTTTTGTTGGATAAAAATTTGCCATGTGCTTTCACTTCTTATTCCAAAAAGGAAGCCATCGAGGACGTTAGAATTATTAAAGAATTGGGTGCTTTAATCCTTGTAGGAGCCAAAGAAAATAAATGGAGTAGCAACATGCCTCTTGTTGAACCTCAAGAAGTTGATAAGTTTTATTATAATAATTTTTATAGAACATTGTTTCAAGGAAGAGCAAAAAATGAGGAATAGCTTACCCATGTCGTGTAACCAATAATGTCAATGGCGTTTGCTTTTTTATTTATTATCCTAATCCTACATTAATTTTATGTTCGCGTATTACATTGTAATTTCTGAATGTACTATAATTATTATTATTATTATTATTATTTATCAAAATAAATTATTCTCACATTGCTTTGAAATTTTTTTTTTGTTTTAAAAAAATTGTTCTTTGTAATGAATACATTAATTAATAATTTCTAATGCAAGTATATGTAATAAGATTATTCTAGTGAAGTAAACTCTATATAGAAATTACCACATCAAATTGTCGTGTACGAGTTGAGTTTATCAAAGGAAAATATAATATAAGAATATAAATGTTATCACGATAAGAAAAATTAGCCACCATGTGAATTGGCTATTTTGAGTAACTGCTAATCGCTTTAACTTATTCATCGTACCACCAAGTGATGAACTGGTAAGTGAATATTCGTCCGACTTAAATATATATATAAAAAAAATCAGTGAAATTTACGTGAAAACTACAAAAGTATTTTTAAATTAATAAAAATTTACCATAGCTCCAATAAGATTATTTGATTCTTTTACACTTTCACCAATGCTCAATGTAATCTAATAAAAAAAAATAAATAAATAAATCAAAATCGATAAATCAATAAATTTATTTAGTATAAATCATAAAAATGATTCAAAAAGAAATTTAATTGAAATTTACCTCTTTCAATAACTTTACTTTCCCCGTTAACCCTTCAATCTTTTCATCATTCTGACTTTCTAAATCTAAATGTGCGTTTGGAGTATAATTTGAAGAAGGTGCGGAGGATCTTAAAGCTGGGTTAGTTTCCGTGGAAGATGCACCAGTAAATAGTGCCGCTCTTTCACGATGGTTAAGATTTTGATTATTGTAAGTTCTGTTGTTTATTTTTTTAAATAAAAGTAAAAAGTTAGACTTTGTGAAATTAGTAATTATGACTGTCAACAATTGTTGAAAATTACCGGACTGGACGTCTTCCTTGGTTCATTATGAAATTTGTTGATAGGATATCTTACCATGAATAGAATTCTTTAAATATTTATATCAATTCTTGTTACACGGGACGGTTGTCCTAACTAAATTAAGATGTGCTGCGGTTGTCACCATTGCATCCATAATACCAGTTATTTTAAATTTAGAATAAATAAATTACATATATTTTATTTTTATATAATTATAAAAATAAATTTAATAAAAGTATTTTAAATAAATTTATTATTAAAAATTTATAAGAAATATTAGTATAATAAAAATAATTAATCTAATTAATATAAAAAATTATAAAATTAAAAAAGAATTTTTAAAATGATTAGAATTTTAATAAATTTCTGATTTTCTGATTAATCAAATTTATCAAATTTATTAAATTCTTTTGGTTATCTTAATTTATATTATTTTTATTACTTTTTTATTTTATTATATTTTAAATTATAGATTTATTATTTTATTATATTATGTATAACTAAGAAAATGAAAACTGTTAAAAATCTATTATAAATAAAGGTTGTAATATATATGACTGATATATTTTATTATATGTTTATTATTGGTAGTAATATAAAAGATCATCATTAAATTATATAAACTTTTCACTTAGTAAACAATATATAAATTAATATAATTTAAATAAAATTAATTAATTTATTATTATATTAGTTTCATGATTTAAATTAATTTTTTACTTATATGTTAAAATTATGAACATTTCATATAAATTTAATTTATATTAATTATTTTCTTATAATTAAAATAAATTTTCATAATATTTAATCACAATATAGTAAAATAGCAGATTATGTATTTCAGTTCGCTTTATTATTCTATTTTAAAAATAATATATAAATATATTTAATTTTTAAATATATTATTTAATTTTTAAAAAAATAATAAAAGAATATATTATTAGATGATTTTTTATCATATGATTTTATTAAAAATGAAAGTGGCTGATATAATCTAGGTTAACGCAGGTTTAATCAAATATTCGTGATTTTTAATTTCTAATTTTATTATAATATTGTGTATAAAATGAATGAGGTTGAGAAAATAACTTTTGAAATAAAAATATATTTAAAAAATCCTCAAGCAGATCAAAATCAAAATGTTTTATTGTGGTGGATGATAATATAAAAGATATATTTAACACATATAGCTAATTAATTATTATATTATAAATTAACTATTTTGACAGATAAAATATAAGTAAATTAAATAAATTAAAATAATAAAAAATACATAAAATAATAAAATATATAATATAAAATAAAATATTAAGAATAAATATAAAATTGAATATTCTTAGATTTCGTTTAATTTGTGAAATATTAGTATTTCAAAGATTAATGAAATTACGTTGATTTTCCATTTTTCAGAATTCAAAATTAAAAATTGTTATATTGTTTTATTTACGTGACTTCATTATTATTAGTTAATTGCTTTGCTGATAACACTCAAGTTCTGAATGAATCAAGTTAACGTTAACTCATGAGTCAGATGAGTCAAATCAAGTTTAAATTAAGTCAAGTTTATATTTTTTTGATTTGATGATTTGTGAGTCATGCTAAATTCAAGTCAAATTAAATATTTAACTCAATTTGATTTAAACTCAACTCAAATTTAACTTGACTTGAGTTGACTTGAAATAGTATTATTAATAAATTAATATTTTAAAACTATAAAAATTATACATTATAAT